GCAAGATTTGGCAAAGGCCTTTAAAAGAAGGTAGTACTATTTTTGACTGTTAAGAGTATATCTTTGTAAATAAATGTCAGCTGAACTTTTATTTTTTTGAATTCTGCTTTTTCTAGTGGTTGCATGAAAACCACTGTACAGCTATATTGATCTGACCAATACTGTATGTAAACAGAAAAAAACCACCCATAACACACAACTACAACAACCACCCACAAAACCAAGAAGCAAATACCCCCCCCAAACAGTTATCAAAAACAGTTTAGAAGGACATATTGTGAGTATTAAGAAGTAATTAGAATATGCTGAATTATCATAAGGAACTACCTGAAGACAAAAAAGCATTGGAGCATTGGTTTCAGAACAACTTCTTCAGCTTCGTATAAAGTAATAAAACTGTCACTGTTCCTTTGTAGTTACTGAGCCTTTTTTGCTGTATTTATTTTTATCTTTGATCAATATAGCAATAAATATACTTTCCCTGAATTTCCATGAAAAGTAGAGTCATGTTTTAATTTGAATTAGTTAACTGCAGCTTATGGAAAACTTAATAAAAAGATACTTGTGCTAAGTATGTAATTGAACTCTGTGGAATAGGAGAATGCACATATTGTGTGTTTTGTGTGTGTGTTGGTAGCAGTGTTCAGATGTACTGCGTTAGGACTTCAAAGTTGAAAAGGGTTAAATTCTTAGAGGTGATATTTGGGGTTTGGGTTTTTTAAGGATACTTTAATGACTTTTCAAGTTTAACTTGGGAAATATGAAAGTATTATTTGAGGACTGAAGGATTATATGAACTTGAACACTGACCAAGGTAATACAAAAATAAAGGGGGGGTTGCCTTCTGAAAAGTTAATATTTATTTGTGCCAAAATGCAAGACCTTTAAGTGCCACAGAGTCTTTAAAGTTCTGTTTGACAAGGGCTAAATTAACAGTAATGTTGGAATTGTGAAACCAAATAAAATATTTTTGTTGTGACCATTTATTGAAAGTTAATCTTACTGGGACTGTATTGCAGTCTGTCAGTTGGGTTCTTAAGGGAGCAAATAATTTTTTGGGGACCTTTCAGTGTACTGTAGGAAAAGGTCACATTCTTCAAGGTTTTGCCTGCTAGGGCTAAATTTCAAGCTACTCTTTCTCTTACTGTTCTTGCAGACAACAATTAGCATTATTTACTGTCACAGGGCTTGAGAAATGAGAAATGAACTGTAGTATTTTTAGATACAGAAGTTTTAGCTGAATTTATTGCCTGTTTGCTGTAATGAAGTACTGGTTAGCCATGCTAACTAACATTCTCTACAGGCGATGTGTCACAGCTTGCTGTGTTTCTGTACTTCTAGCTACTGAGCTCAAAACACAGAGGTAGAGCAGACAAAAGACCTATTGATTCAAGCTTGATTTTATCCATCTTTCAAGGGAATGTTTACTCCTTATTGCCTGCACATTAAGGGAGGATGAAACCTTGTTGGTTTGTGATCACGAAGAGTTAATTTCCAGAGTTTTTAAAGGTTGTAGGCTAATTTTTTACAAAAGTATTTCTTATTAATTTAATATTCATGAGATCCACTAACTGAATACTAAGCAGTGGATCTATTTTTGCTGATGAAACTTGTTACTATTTTACTTTCTGATTTTTAGTGACTGTATAATCTATTTGCTAACTTTGCTCAGTATGAAAATTTGATGGTGCTTTTCAGGATTTGGACTTGATACTAATAAATCCCAGACCTCTTGGGATTTCCTTAGTGTTGGAGAATAAGAACAGAGAAGCTGGATAAGGAAGTATGAGCATTTCCATACGTGAATTTTTGTGCTGTTTGAGGCATGACAGGTGTGTTGTCCTTCATTGTTGTGCAGGAAAATGACTCAGAACATTTGTGTTAATGCCTGTTGAGAGAGAGGACTGGAAACAAAATTGTTGGCCTGGTCCCTCTCATAATTAGGAAGATTGAAGTTGAAAGTGGATATAAGGGAGTGATACAAAAGTTATCAGGAAAAAAAACATTTACAACAGTCCCAGTAAATTAATTGTGACAGTTACTTGAGCTCAGGAAGTTTTGAATTCTGAAGGCTTTCCACCGAGGGAGCTTGCAGCTTTATATCATGAATGAGCTTTAAGTACTTATATTACTTGTTTTCACCAAATAGAAAATTTGTGAAGGTTGAAGTTATTTTTTAAGATAATGCTTGTGAGAACCAACCCCTGTTAAAAATGAGTTATAGTATAAATTAAGCTACCTAAGCTTATGAGGCAAGTTTTATTGTATTCAAACTCGTTTTGGAGAACAGAGTTCACCTTTTATCTTCATGATGTATTTCTAGCTAAGGGATTCTGTGTGCTTTGGCAAGCTTGAGATTATTAAAAGGGCAAGTCCATACTGAATTTTGTCAAAGGGAAACCTCTGTTTATGCTTTTGCTGTGTTTTTGAAAGACCCATTTTTCTGTTTTTAGCTGAATCTGAAATTCTGTCCAGGATAATATCCAGGATATATCCCTGCTTACTTCTTGCTGTTTAGGCCTCCTACTGCTGCTGCTGCTGTCCATTAGTTTTGGACCTGCAAAACCACAAGAGCAGGCTTATGCTGCAGTTGGAAGTGTGCTTTCAGTTTATAGACATAAGCTGAGCTAATTTTAAGCTAATAGCTTGGTTTTTAGCAGCATAGGAGCTGAACAGATTTTTGAAAGACTAAATGCAGGGCAGTCATAGCAGGGTTGCTGTTGGTGTCCAAACCGGGTTGTTTAAAGCAAGCTCAGATTTACCGCACTGAGCTGCAGTCACACCTCTTACAGCTGTGTAATCATAGTCAGATGTAGATACTGTGCACAGACAGCTTCTAGTGGGCTGCAGCAGTAAGATATGTTGATTGATGAGAACAAACCCAAGTAGTAGCCTGTATTATCCTGATAAAAGTCCCCATTAATTGTGTTCCTCTTGCCACAGCTGTATTTCAGGTCTGGGGCATATAGCAGACAAGTATGAATTAGATTTCTTGAGTCTTTATTACCCAGGTAGCCTCAGTGGGATTAAAGTTATGTTCAGGACAACTGCTCCTTTTTAAAACTCAAACAATCCATTGTGATTGTGCGTGCAGGTATGTGAATGTACATATGTGTACATGTGTACAGAGAACATACTTGTGTGAGGTTTAGGTATAGGATTTTATGGGTATTAATAATCACAACACCTGTCTACCTAAAAAATTACAAGTTTGACCTCAGAAACTGAATTTCTAGCTCAAACATTATGACAGCACTTGATTTTACACTTCTGGAATTCCTGCATCTTCAATGACTACAGTTAGAACTGTAGGTGTTGAGAACATTTGAACATTAGTTTATCAGATGGAAGCATAGAAATTAGAGACAAGCTATGGAGCAGTTCACGTAGATACTTGACACACACACAAGGAATTAGAGTTTTCAGTATATCTTTCATAAAAGCTTTTTTTCAAAGGGTCTACTAATGTGTAAGTGATGATTCTTAAAAATGTATTTATCATTTTATGTAATATGTTAAAGGTTTCATATCTACAGTCCTTGTATACATTTTTATCATTGACAAGATAAAATTTCTGGGACTCTTCTTTATGGTAACTTTCACAGAGTCTAAAAAATGTTTGAAATATAACCATGTTTTTATTTTTATAAAATTCACAATTTTATACATAGGGAGTTGATAAGCGAGGAGGTTGTGTTCAGTCTCTTATTTCCATTAAGAACTAGTACACATTTTAATACGTCACCATGCAGTGGCCTAGGAATATATTTTTAAAATGTCATTACTCTGTTTTTTTAAAAAGTATGCAGTAACTGCACATAATGAAGTCTGCCCTACTTCCTCTGCATCTTCTTGACAGTTTTTCTCTTTTCTTTGCCTTGACAGTATAGAATGTAGTATCTTGAAAAGTGGTTTTTTTTCTCAGTCTGTGTAGAGCAATGTAGTAATAATTTTATCTGTTTGTTGGATTTGATGGTTTATTTGTAAAGTGAAATGTTATTTATGATAAAATATACAAAAGTATACATTTTCAGGATAGAGTTTTAAACAATAAACTATATAATAAATGCAATTGATGATGATGATGAGTATTGAACTGCTCCTATTTATAGTAACCAGGAAACTTCACTGATATGTGGATTTTATTCTAAACTACACCTCGGTACTGGGAAACACAAATTTTTAGTAGAAAAGTATAAGGAATTTTATATGAAACTGAAGAGTGTCCATACTCTCATATAGTGTGATGCTCCAAGTAAGAAAAATGTTCTTATTTCAGAGAACATTTGTACTGTTTGGCACCCCTAAACCTCCTTTGTGAAAACTCATTCAAGAGAGTTGTTTCAGTACCTTTTTTCTTATTGTAAAGATGAGCTGTCAATATCTCTGCCAAACTCTGCTTTCTGAACAAGCAAAAGGAGTATTAAATAGGTCTGTCAGCACTCAGCCCCACTGAGACAAAATGCATCTTTACAAATACGTAAGTGATGACCAAACAAATTCATTATATCTGAAGCAACTGGATGTTGGACTTTACCAAGCACATTTGAAAGAAATAAGTCGTTTTTCCATTTCTGGTTGTGTTACAGATGTGATGGAAAGCCAGACTTCACTATGTAAGAATAGTTGCTTTGAAAAGTACCTCCTTGCACACACAGTCATTTAAATAAACAGGACTGGTTATTAGGGAAAGTTTGTTTCGAGAATGAATCACAGGATTAGAGTATAGTCAGGCTAAAGCTTTCACTGATTTGATTGCTTTACATTAAGTTTATGTGAGTCTGTTCCTAAGGATACATTAACAGCAACAAGTGGAAGGTTAATTTTAGAGAAAGCTCTACCAAATATGTGAATTTAGTTTTAAGTGGATTAAGATGCACAAGTGTTTCAGCCAGTTTTAACCTCAAACTTCACTTGCAGTCCTTTGCAGTTACCGATTTAAATGTATCAGTGTTGAGAACTGCTGGTCTCTACTTCGGCATTTTCTCTGTCCTTCCTAGGAAAGATGTCTAGAGACCGGGCTCTCAGGAAGCAGCAGCAACTGAACAATTTGGTAGGAGTGGTGACAAAGCTTGCAAAGCCTGGAGATGTGATTGTGGATTTTTGCAGTGGAGGGGTAATGTATATTTCTGTTTATGTGGTACCATTTATTTCAGCTTTCATCTTTGCTGTTCTAGGTGGTTGCTGCCACAAAGCAAAGCAGAAGTACAAATGCCGAAATTTTACCTGCTTTCAAAGGTTCTGTCACTGTTTATGGGATGCTCATCATGTAATGAGTGAACAGCTGGGAACACCGAAAAGTGATTCAGATCATGTCATTTGTTTTTGTTTTCACAGGGCCATGTTGGAATTGTTCTTGCTCACATGATGCCATCATGTCAGGTAAATTCTCAATAAAAAGTACAGATAGTACGAGCTTTTGGTCTCTGATGATCCCCTTAAAAAGATATGCATATAGGGAAGGCAAATGACATCACAGTTGTCTCAGCAGAGGACTTAGGTTTGAAACATGGAAATTTTTAGCATAACTCCCAAATGTGCATGGTGCTTTCCTGAGAAGACAAAAGTTGTAGGAAAATATAAAATATTTGAAAGTTGATCAATATTGGCAAGTATTAAATGCCTTCAATTGTTATTGGGTTTCCAGATAATCATTTTATAGATCACAAACTCTACCACAAGTAATTCAGAGGTTTTCTCAACTAAGCTAGAAAGTTTTCTGCTTGATAATGTTGTACTTTGATTTCTCAGTATTATTTTGCCTTTCTCCTATGTGTGAAATCTAGGTGGTACTCATAGAAAATAAGGAGTTGTCTCTGATCCGTGCTAAAGACAGAAGTGATGAACTAGGTTTAAACAACATTTGGTTCATTCAAGCAAATCTGGACTATTTTAATGGGACTTTTAACATCGGGGTAAGTGATTATAACTTTTCCAGTTCAAAACTTCAGTGTCTGGTTCATTATTCTTAGAATAACTAAAATAGCTGAGAGAAGGAAGTTCTCTATATCCTTACAGACCCTGAAAATAAATGAGATGGACATTCTCTAGAACTCTGCAGCCCTAGTGAAGAATAAGGCATAAATAGTATTTTGTAACTCTCTAAATACTCCTGTCTTCTACTTTTTTATTCTGTCACTAGAATATGAACTTCTGTGGCAAGGCTCAAGCTTTCCATGCAAGACTGACTGTTCTTTAAATCATCCATCTAAGGGCCTGTTTTGGCTGTAGCTGAGGACATTTAATGCTGAAGGTTTATGGTATATGAACAGTGCTGTTTAACTATTCGGTTGGATAAAGGAAAAGAAACACAGTGCAGGAGAAAGAGGAGAGAATAAATGGTTTTAGCCCAGTCCTTCCAAGTGTAAATTTTCAATTCTCTGGCTTTAGCTTTTGTGCTAGAGTGTCATATAAATCTCAATAGATGAACTAAAGATCTATTTCAGGAATATCAGGATCTTGTGAATAATTTACTGAATTGTGTGTGTGAAATGTTTAATAGTTTTTCTGTGAAATTCATTTCCAGTTTTGTGATCATTGGAATTCCTGTCTTAATTTTTGGGGGTCTATTTTAAAGGTTCATACTATGTTAAATATTTCTGTAGAGTTTTTATTTAATAAAAAAGTGTTATACTCTCTCTTTCAAGTTTTGTGACAAGGAAAATACTGAAGTATATGTCAGAAGAATTCACTTGGAAATGCTTCATTTCTGGGCCTGTGATTTCAGTTTCTTTGACTTGATTTGTCTATTCAACAGACAAAACTGGAGCTTTCCCTTTTTGGGAGACCTGTATCAATGTCAGCTTCAGAATTAGTTTGTATCATACCATGATTCACTCTTCAGGATTAGCTCGTTAACCTAGGATTAACTTTCCTTGGCGTATTTAAGATGGGAGCTCTCTGGTTTGCTGACCTATGTTTGAACATAAAAATATAAAGTTTATACTTTTATATAAAGCTACTTTTGCCTCATTATGTCATAAACCCTGGTCTGATACAAAAATGGATATAGATACCATAATACACAGATAAATAAAAGTTTATCAATGTGCCATATTTAAACCCATCTTCTGAGACTTGCAAAGCTATTCACTCATTGCATGACTTCACCATTTTCAGTAAAACAATAGTGTAAATGTGAGGAAGGACACAATGACGAATTCACTTGAAATTTAGAGAGGTATAGAAAAATGAATGTGACTGAAGTCACCATCTCTGGGTTTGGTATTAGTTTAAAATAGGTTTATATGCATTTTAGTTACCTTGACATCAAATGTACGTTATTTAGCTTTTTTTTATCTGTCAGGAGTTCAAAAGCAGGTTAAAAAACTCTATGTGAACCACTTCCCTTTTGGTCTGCATGAAATTTCTGCCCTTATGAACTCTTGAGATAATGATGATCAAGGTTCTGAAACAACATGTTTGAGTGCCAAATGTACTGGTGCATTGTACTATTACATGTTGTAGTACAACCACCTACCACAATAAATTATTTCAGTCTTACAGTGAAAGCTTCCAAATACTTGCGTGCAGTGTTCATTTACATGCCAACACCCAGAGGAGTCTGAGATCTCAGCTGTTTTTAATATTTCTATAGTACTCACAGTATCTCAGCTAATTTGTGAGAACAAGTTGAAAAGTTTAACGTTTGGTTGGAGAGCAGGGATATTTTTGAGCGTGTTGAGTACTCTTATTTTTAAGATCACTAAAGTAAACCTGAAGTTTCAGGAAACATTCTTTTCCCTTTGCTTTTCTGTGTGCACTGGACTGTTCTGGGCAGTTGCAGTACCAGAGGTCTAATACAGGACAATGGTCTCACGCTGCATTAGCTCTGTTGCTCTCGTCAGGGGCCACTTTGCTTTCCTGTGTTTACAGGTGTTTGGATTTGTGGACCAAATATCTGCGTATCTGCTTTAGTCTTCACAATTTATTTTGTTTCAGACAGTGAGTTGGATCTACAGGATATCCTGAGAAAGCTTTGTCATTAATTTTGTCATTTTTTTTTTCCTTAAGTAAATTGGTTCTGAGAAACACAAAGAAGAAATCAGTTGGTGTAACAGGTCATATAGGCTCAGCAAAGCTACTGGTTTTATCTGCTGCTGTTTTACGGTCTCTTTTTCAGATGTGCAAGCAAAATAAAGATCTTTGTTTTCTGCTTGGATAGATGAGGAAGTAACTATAATTACATTCTATGCTAATCTGATAACTGTGATATTAAGACTCTATTTCTGATGTTAAACTAGTTTTATTTTTGTTAAATTCATGTAAGCAGAAAACTTTCATTGTGAAATTATTTTCTTGTTAATTTTTAATGTTCTGCTTGAGAAAAAAATAGTTGTTTCCGTCTGTATGCAGTTACATTCCAGTTGAAGATTAATGGTCTGCTCAGCTGAGCTTACAGCAAGCAGAGTGCAAACAAAAAAAGACGTTGTTTTAATCTATATCTGAGAGTAAAGGTTTTATCTTCCAATTGCTCTACCTTGAAAAACAACTTTGAATCCTGAAATCTGAGCTGTGCTGTGCTGCTTTAAAGCTTTTCCCTTTAAAGCTTTTCCCTTTAAAACTTTACAGTGAACCAAAAGAAAAGAAAACAATGTAGTTTTATAAATCCACACTGCTGCATAAAATTACAAATGTCTCAAAAATGTCCTTAGTTCAATGAAAACATAGAGCAATATCTATGCACCAGGCCTACTCTTTGGGGTACAGAGTACATGGGAGGAGGCAGAGTAAGTAATGTCTTCATTTCACCTGGCCTGTTTGGCATCACAGAGATGAGAGCTGCTTGCCTTTCCTTGCACTTTATTGAGTACTGCAGTAACTTGCCTTGCAGTAACTTGCCTTTCTGTAGGAGAGCATCAAGAATTTGGGTGCAACCTGTGCATTGCCCAGACACATGTCAGTGTTCCCAAGTAGTTGTGATGAAATGTTATTCTAGTTTTAGCTGAAGAGCCCATCACTAAGAAGAAGAAATAAAAGATTAAGGAGAAGAAAAAAAAAAGGAGGGCAAGCTGTGTTTGATGCTTCCCCCCACCTCCATTGTTTCTTTTTCTAGAGGTTTTATTCAACATCTTAAAATCTAATGATCTAAATTATGTTAAATTTTCTCCTTTGAATGTGACCTTCAGGTATATGTGTTACTTCTCTTACTGCTAAATTGAAATCCAGTTTTGAAATAGTTCTTTGTGTTTCTAAGTCCTTCTTGCTTGACAAAAACCTTTGAGTAATTACCACAAATAGTTTCTCTGTAACTATTTTTCTGGAACTTTGTTTTTAATTTATTTGATATTGTGATGTAGTGCACTTCCTTCTGAGTACTTTTGGTGAGTGACCCTTCTTCAGTGTTGATGCTGAACAGGATTGTATTTAGAATGTTGCTGTAAGGAATTTTCTTGTTTCCTTGGTTTTTGTTTTTACTGCTGTAGGTGGCTCTGCACGCCTGTGGTGTGGCCACAGACATGGTGATTGAGCACTGCATCCGGGCACGGGCAGCCTTTGTCATCTCCCCTTGCTGTTATGGCTTCATTCAAAACACAGTCAAGTTCAAATATCCACGAAGGTAAACGAAAGCTAACAAGATAAGCCTTAAAATATCAACTTAAGTGATGGGATAAAATACTAAGAGAGTATAGAATTAATCAGTTGAGGATCATTGCGAGTTTCTGGGCTAAGCTGATTCACACTTAGAATGAAACTGTTTTCTTCTTTGTCTTTCCCAACCCATCATGAAAGGGAGGCAGATTGGTAATTGCTGGATTATTTTTTTCTGGATTTATCTTTCATAGTTCAGGAGACTTTGTGCAAGGAGCATAGTAGATACAGTATGTAATATGCAGACCTTTTACCTTTAAATCACAAAGTTAATAGAAAACTCACGAAAATTACTGTAAGAAGGGGAATTGACATTTTAATGTTGCAGAAAGATGTAAGCAATCAGCTTAAGAAGTGAGTCTGCTTTATACCACAGTTTACTGCTCATGAAACTTCTCTGATTTATTCCCAAGTAGACAAGCCCTCCTGTATTTCAGTTCATATTTTTAGTATTTTTTCAATGAACTGTGTACATATTTTGTCTTCAAATCTGCCATGTGGGAGATACTTATGTATCTTATGCTTAAGAATTTTAATGCCTTTACTATAAATAAAATGTAAAAGATAAGCATAAAGTGGCAGAAGATAAGAGGCTACAGCCTTCTGAATCAGAACTAGGTGGCAGAAGAGGGTTGTGTTTTGGTTGGCTTTTTTTTTTTTCATAAAGCTGAGCTTTGCATTTTTGATGTCCAAGATTTAATTCTACTAGGAAGTGACAGAAGTATATATTTGCTAAAATAACAAACTGAAACATGCAGTCTGACAAGGAATCAATAAATCTAAAAAATCTTATGCATCTATGTTAAATATTTTTCATATTTTCATATTCTTCTGTAATACCCAAGTGTGCTGGCACAGAAGTGTAGAGAGTAAATATTTAGAATTTGTCGGTTTGCTAAGATTTGGATTTAACTGTGTTTTCTTAGTCCATTTGATTCTTCCATCTCTTTGTGTGTGTCCATTTTTGTTTTCTCTTGAAACACAATAAAAGAAATAAGTTTTCTTAAGGAAGAGGCTATAAAATTTTAAGTCTTTTAAAACTAGCAGGCATATAGCTTTTCTCAGTTGGCTTGTTTTAAAATTGACTGTATAATGTTGGACTTTTGACCAGTTACGTTTTTGGACCACTAAGACTAGAAATGCTCCCTATGTTAGAAAAGTTTTGTTGCTATAGATGCTGCAAGAATATAAATTAGGGTTTTGTGTTTGATAAAATTTTGAATCTAACATCACAAGCCTCTGTAGAAAATTATTAACCCTATTTCGAGCTGCATTTTAGGGTTTGCTTTTTCTTTTTTTCCTTATGTTATATGATCATAAAACATGATAGTCAACCCATATCCCTGTAGTGTCTGTGTTCTGTAGTCCATTCCTTTGTAGAGGCCCCTTACTTTTGCGATGCAAACAAAATATATGCTTGTCTAGAGTATTATTAAATATATATAAAGTATTTATATGACAATGAGGAAAGAACAGTAAATCTGTGTTAGTATTTATAATGATTTAGAGAGAGAATATTTTTATGAATAACATAATAGGGAAAAAAAGACACCATCAGGTACACTTTTCCTTTTCTAGTGAACAGGAGCTGCAATGGGGTTTGGTATTTTTGAAAGCCTTTCTGTAGGATACAGATACTGCTACTTTGTTTAAACTGTGTTCAAGTATTAAATAATTGCTCCTACTTTCCACCTCTGCTGGTTTTAGATGTTAATTAAATTGGTCTATTTATTTTTTTTTTCAGTCGTCAGTTCAAAGAAATTTTGTCCTACAAGGTATGTAAAATGGCAAATGGGAAGGTTTACATGCAGTTTCCTGTGTTTCACTGGGTCATTTTGTCAAATGAAATATATGTGGTTATCTTTTAATTGCAAGGAGTGGCATGTGTTATGTGCGATGTTCATTAATAGTGTGGATGTCATTGTGTTTTCTCTCCACCATCCATGTTTTAAGGCTTTTTTTCTTCAATAAAATTAAATAGTTTCTCTACAAAAAGCCCCTTGTTTTATCATAATGTGTAAGTGAGCCATTCCTAAAGTACTTTCAACATGTATCCATTAACAATTACAAGACGCCAGTTTATTTAAGTCTTAAATAGAGCTGTTATTTTCTAAAAATCATTAGATTTTTCCCTCTAATTTATGTCTAAAAGATTGGACATACCAAGTAGGAAAAGCTTGTACTGATCAGCAAGAATTTTATGCAGGATTGTTTTAAAAATGTTTTTCAAAATTATTTTGAAAGTATTCAAGTGCATTTTGACCCTGCGAAGGAAGGGTCTGTGGAGACAGTCCGAGAGAAATGTGGGAGAAAGAATCAATGAAGCAAACAGATCTGACAGAGTGAAGATAATAGGGGAGTGAAAAAGGACAAGAGCAGAGAGGTGGACAGCTGAAAACTGGTGCTGATCTGTTAAACTTTGTCATGAGCGTTTAGATGCACTTAATGTGGCATGGAAAGAAAATGTTTCCTTTTGAGTGAAGCAAGGTTATAGAGAAACTTTACTAAATTTACATGTCAAACCCTAGACAGAGGTCTTGGTGTTTACAATGTAGAAATGAATTTTGGAGATGCAGAATAATTCTTTATAACAGAAATATGAAAGCAAAGGAAGGTATTTGTAATATCTAAATGTTTTTTGGGACAGTGAGCAGTGCAAAGATGCTGTATGTGGCAGGAAAATTGAGATTATCCTTTTTAATCCTCAAATAAGAGCGGGTTTTAAAAATTAAGAAAATTTCCAGCCATCTTCTAAGGGAAATTCAGTTATCTGCTAATACACTAATCTTACATTCATGACAGTCTGGTTTATGTACACTTTGCTAATTTACATGGAAATAAATGCCCACAGATTGAGATGACAAAAGCCGCACAATGGATTTGGACCTGTCATTGTTTTTCCCCTTGTTTAAATTTATATGTTTCTAACTCATAATCACAAAGAGCTCAGGTTTCTGTTCAGAAAAAATTCATTTACTAGCATTTTTAAAATAAACTAGTTAACAGTACAGAGGGAGATGGTGACAGTATAAAGTCAGGGATGCCTAGATTAGAATAGTGTGTATAACTTCATTACAACTCAGTGAATTTTTTTCTTAATTTTTTAATCCATGGAGATTTAAATCACAGGGTTTGTCAACACTGTAGATTCCAGCATTTTATTATTTGTGCTGCAGAGGGTACAGGAGTCAAAGACAAGGCTAGAAAATATTGCTGCTCTTAATAACATAAGAGTCTATACAAATGGTCTAGGCTGGTTGGTGCCTCCAATAATCCTAGTTATAAATAACTTTTGTTATGCAGCTAGCTGTATGCATTTTTATATTTCATATTAATAAATTGTTACAGGTTATTGGCTAGCAGCCAAAGTTGCCATGTGTTAGCCAGACATTGTTTGTGTCACCCCCTCCAGTTCCCATTTTAAATTAATTTCTCTTATCTTTTATTTTCGTGAGATCTAAAAAGACATCCAGCAGTCTGGAATTTCCAAAACTTTTTTGATGAGAACATTATGCTGTAATTCATTATTTTATAGTTGCAAAGAATAAGGTATCTGTAGATTTCTACCATGATACATTTTGAGACTTTCTCAAGACACAAGGAGAATTAGAAAGTAGAACTGTATAACTTTGCATATACTTTTTGCTTTGGAAATTTAATAGGAATTGAAGGTAAGGGTGTTCTAGTAAGCAAGTTAACTGTTTATGCACACACAAAGTTTGGGCAGTTAATAATCTTCATTATTTTAGAAATGCTTTTCTTCTTATTTCTGAAAGTTTAGTGTGTGTTATGGGTAAACAATGTAGTCATAACATGCTCTGATTTATCTCTTTGGATCATCTCTCTAAGAAGCCAAGGCATTGGAGTCAGTCCAGATTTTCAGGTTAAGTGATAAGGCTCACCTTGGCTCTGATCTGGTCCAAAGAGCTGGAATATTGATGTTGCAAAGAGCCAAGTTGTATTGGGTGCCTGAAGGCTGGTGAGGAGTTGTGTGCTAAGATGGATCTTTTCCCTCTCCTCTAAATCCCTGTTTTTCCCCCCAAACTGCCTATCACTGCTGCTTCTCTCCTAGTAGTGGCCACATTGCCCATGGCTCTTTTTGTCCTTTGTTCTCCAGTGCTCATGTCTGGGTTAACATTTTCAACTCTTTTGTACTGCAAAAATAGCCACATTTGAATGAAACTGGGGGGTGGGGTGGGTGGTAGAGTGCATGTAAGTCCTAAATGTATTATAACACATTCTCATTTTGCTTCCATATCTTTTATGAAGCTGTGAGCTGGAAACCTTCATGCCAATAGCTGTACTAGGGAACAAATATCCTTGCCTCAAGATAGTGTGAATTTATTTAAATTAGTAATATTTGAGTATCAAATGATAATATTTTATTTTATAATAGATAAGAAAATTTTTTGCGGTCAGGTGTCTATTAAATTTATGAGTTGGATGGAGTGTACTGTGGGGTAGTTGATTTAATATGAAGCTTTTTAGTGGAATAGAAACTCTTGGATGTTTATGTCCCTCTGATAAAAAGCTGGAGTAAGTATTCTTACTTCAGAATACTGAAAGAACCTGAAGTGTCCTTAGGTGAAGTTGCTCTCTCCACCTGGTACAAGAACCAACTCTTTAATGTCATAATTTTATATCAGGCAAGAATTTTTTTTAAAAAAAGTTTTTGATGCAAGACGCATGCCTTTTTTTCAGAACTATAGCTCTGGAAGTTTTGCTTTGGAGAGCACTTTTTGTTGTTGTCCATTTCTGTTTTCTCCCTGTGACATTGTAGGAGACTTGGGAACATTGTACAGTTCTAAGGTGGTTCTGATTTACGCTGTCCTGTACTTAATATTGCAGCTGTCCCAAAGAGCACAGCTGTCATCAGAGCATTCATTTCATTGCTACACCTGCAAGGCTTTTTCTTTCACCATCTGGCTAACTTGCATTCCTTGGCTTCGCTGGTCTTTGAGCAATCATAATGCTGACATAGGTGGTGGGATTTGAAGGCAAATGAGGATATGGGGTTCTGCCTGCTTGTGTAGTGATCTAACTAGGGAATGAAATGCATCCTCCACTGCACCATCCCCCTGAGTGACAGGACAGGAAGAAATCAACAGTAGCTGTTGTAGAAGCCTTTGCAAAAATTCCTAGTGGAACAGGGATAGGTTGAAATTGCATTATGATAATTTTGATGGAGGAGACTTTCCTGTTCACAGCCAGGTATTTTTTGCCTTCAGGATCTTTTGAGTTGATCCTGACTGGATTTGGCAGGGCAGAGGAAGTTTGACCATGAGGCTGTTCTTCTGGGATTCAAAATCACTGCTTGGAGAAGTGTGCAGTAGTTCAAATCACCTGTTTAAGAATTTCATCTTGGCTGCTTATTGATGCAGAGGTGCAGCCCTATGATGACTGTGCTAAAAGAAGACTGTGTTGCTTATCAGTTATTGAAGGCAAAATTAGTCTGCAGTACGTCTTTGAAGAATGTTCTCTTGCATACACTGCATCCAATTCAAGTGCTGAAAAGAATGAGAAAGTTTAGCAGGGAACAAATACTGATGAGAAATGAGATAGTGATTACAAAATCTTGATTTACACACATATTTGCAGAATAAAAATTGGGATTTGCACACAGATAAATTTTCTAGAAATACAGTCTTCAGTGTAATAGCACTTTTAATACTTCTAAACATTTAATTAGATTTTTCTTGCTTTATCTTCTTTTTTTTTTTTTTTTTAGGAGCACATGATTCTTTGCAGATTTGCAGATCAGACAGCTGTTCAGCTTCCACCTGAACGCAGGCTAATTGGTATGAATTTCTGCAGCTGCTGTGTAAACCATCTCAGTAATGATTTCACTTGATATATAAAGGAAGAAGTAGACCTTTATGAATGGGGCATTAAGTTGCTGTCTTCACATAAAACTTGAAAAATTTTACTTTTGTCACATTTCACTCTTACTCTTCCATTCTATGGTATAGAAACTCTTCCCTTATGTCAAAATCACCAATACAAGATAGAGAATTTGCATTTTACTGATTTTTTATTTTATTTTTTTTAATTGCTTGACCTTTTTTCCCCCCTACCATTTTATGAAAAGCATGAGATCTTAGTAAAGTTCACTGATGTCCTGCTGCTGCCAGTTCATCTTCCATTAAAAGCACAGACTATTCGTAGTAGTGACTTTCAGTGTGCCCCCTTTGTCCTGCTCGTAGTCACTGGGGGTAACTCTCTTAGGAGGGTAGACATCTAATGCCAGCTGCAAACAATAAGGGTAAATTGCAGAGGTTGGGCTGGCTTTGGTCAGAAGGACAGCAAAATACAAACTGCTTCAAATATGTGGCATAAGCTTTGACTTACAGAAGCGTGGTCCTTGTTCTGATAGAAGCTGTAAATGAGCTTCCAGGTCAGAAAAGACAGACGAGGCTTGGAACTCTAAGAACGTAACTCTGCATTCTTGGCTTAAAAGAAATACTTACAAACTACATTAAAGCAGTAGTAGCAAATAATCATAATGTTTTTTAAAAGCTTAATTTGAAGCATTCAAGATATTTCTTATGCTCACTGCACAAAAAGAAAGTTATACAGATTCTGTATACAAGCTGATGAGAAATTTTGCCGCTTCTTTTGTTATCATCACAGTATTTGAAAAAAAGAAATTAAAAAGGACAGTGTTCAGTTACCAGTGTAGCACCCCACACTGTGGACTGAAAATTGAAATAGGACCCAAATTTATTTTTTGAAAGATTGTAATTTTTATCTGTTGACCATGTCTGAAACTGCAGGGTTTTTTTCCACAAATGTAACTTTCACATGTTTTGTTCTGACAAAAACCCATAAATATAAATCTTATTCTCCTCTTCCCCTACATCATTGCTTTTTCTGTTTTCAAGAATGTTACTTTTTCTTAAAGTTCCCTGTAATATTAGTCTGTTTCATTGAAGATGGTTCCCATTTCCCTGTTCTGCTTCAGCTTTGAAACTGATTTTGTGGGAGTCTTGCTTAGCAGTATTTTTACATTTTCCTTGCAAACAATTGCATGCGATCAGTGTTACAGTCATTGTGAGAATGTTTTTGGTAAGTGCATGAGCAGGTATTGAGAAAACTGTATTTCAGTTAATGAGAGTATTCCTGAACAGGTGGAGGCTTTTTCTTCTCATGTAAATGATGGCAAAAATCACTTATTCTGCTACTTTTTTAATATTTTAGGATTATATTGTAAACTACATTTTAGCAATTACCACTGAATTTATGCAGCTTCAGATAAGTGACAAATCATTTGCTTTCATTACCTGTTAATGCTGTTAAAATACAGCATTTGTCTGTGACTGTCATCGCTGAAACAACACATTTGTCAAAGGAGTTATCACCGATTTCTATAGGATCTGTGAAGGTAAAAATATGCAGTTGAACCCAGTTCTGCTGCACACAGCAGTTCCCTTTTAAATGAACGAAGTTCTGTGTATCATTTTCACTGGACGTGTGACTTTTACACACTATATGCAGCGGTGCAGACTGAATGGTTAAATGGCTTTGTGGACATTGCTACAGTCCACCTGCTTACACAGAACTGCTCCATGCATTTCACACAGTCTTACTGAGAGCACCCAGGGAACCAGGCCCCAGTAGTGACAATCCCAGCTGCCCTTTAGTGTGTACACATGGAATAATAAGGATGTTGCTGTCAGTGGCAGGAATGTGTACATGCCGTTTTGTTCAACCAGCCACAGAAGGTGACTTTCTGTGAAGCCACAAATGTGGGAAGAATAGTGCCACAAACAGTAATTTGCAGAGTTGTGTCCTGGGTTTATAAACTGCTAATTTCTCCCTGCAACGTATAGATCCATACAGAACTGAGTTGCAAAGTTCTTTTTCAGGCCCACCCTTAATATTTTGTCTCTAAATTGTCTCCTACCCAATTACTACCCCTCTCAAATTCCAAGCCGCCAACAGAACAGAGTCCAAATGTCATAATGTTGGTGAATTCAAAGTAGTGAAATTATTTTGTAACTAAGGAATTCAGCTGAGAAGGAGAAGATAGTTCTGGCCATCAGCTCACTGTGGAAGGACAGAATAGATTGGATTGAGTACTGTATTAAAGTGTGATGTGCACCAGCTGTTCTGAAATACAAGGATTCTGAGGAGTGTTTGTGCCACCCACCAAAACTTCTGCAGGCACCTAACCAGGGTGCATAACAGGGCTTATAATGGTGCAGGTGCAAAAGCTCTGTATACGTTCACAGAAGAGGTAAGCGGTTCCAGAGGAGCTCCAGAGGAATATGCCAGACTCATATCCTGATGGTAAACATGATGTGATCCTGTTTCTTCCCTTGGTCTCAGACCCCAAATATATTTAGCTATACAATTTTGTCAGGAGCAGGAAAAAGAGGTAAGATCATTGGCTTTGAGACCGACGGAGGATTGTACCCTGTTGAGGTCTTGAGACTGTATGACTATTAGTCATAAAACGTTTCAGGGAAGTGTTAAATCTTTCTTGCAATAGCATTTCAAACTGCTGAAATACAATCTGACAAGTCAATTCAGTATTTCAGAACATAATAATCAATTATAATGAGTAAATAAGTAAGGACAAATGGTCCCATCATCTTGGCATGGCTGTATCGTAATACAAATGTCTAAGCTGAAAAACTCCATTTATCCTTCCTGTTTTTCTGCAGATAAATCTGAGATAAGCTTAATTTGCATTACCAATGTAGTATTCTTGTTTACAAGTAGTTACATTAATATGTCTCAAATCAATTAGACTGGATAACTTTTTTGTATTGTAGTCTTTTGTTGAAGTTCAATAATCAGAGATTTTCAGATTTTAGATGAAAGTACAGGAGGAAAACAGTTATGGTCATAAAGGGAGTAGAAGTTTGGAAATTCAGAGAGCTAAGGGGTAAACGAGGCATTTTTCTTCCTCCTGTGGCTTTTACATTAAAGTATGGATTTTTCTGTACATTTTGAGAAGGGCACGACAGTTTTTAAGCTTTCTCCATATATAAAGAGTTAATAATCTTCTCAAGATCTTTGCTAAATGAGGGTTACAAGTCGCAGATGTGATTTGGAACTATTAAAGAGTGTCTATTTGAAGTAAAACAGATTAAGATGGTTTTTAAAGGAGATGTGGAACTTATTTTTAGATGACTTACTGATGTGTTTTCCTAACATTAAATATTGAAGTGCATATTTCTGATAACGTTTCTACATTCTGAGTTTCCATGCTTTCCCTTGCTCTCCTTTTAGGAAAACAGTGTATGGGGCTTGTGGATCTGGATCGGGCATGGGCTGCAGAGGAACAGAACTACTCTGTCCAAGTTATATCTATGGAGCCAGAGAGTTGTTCTCCAAAGAACAATATGTTTGTGGGCACCCCTACTTAGAGTGTGAAACTTGCATTCGATTTGAAATAGAACATAAATCTTCAGTGCATAATGACATCCAGCAGATAGAAGCAGAGCTGGGAACCAGACATCACGCATCTTGAACGCATTGCGCTCGGAAAAGGAAGCAGCCCAAAAAGTCTTAAAAAGCAAACTGCATGCAGAGCATCACAAATCAACTTGCGATGTGTCATTAAGCAACTTTTGAGAAGTTTCTGGATCTAATGACTGTGCATGGAATTATATCCATCTGTAAAGATTTAGAAAAAAGTTGGTCTCATTGAAGGGAAGGTGGTTTCCTTTTCAGTAAAACTGTTTCTTGGCTGCCTGAAAATTGCGTTCGTGGTCAAAACTGCGTTTGGGTTTATAAGCAGAGCAGTTATCAGCCAGAAGTGCTGATCACTAGAGGAACAGAAAAGATCAGATTTACGGTGTTAGTGAAGAAAGATGTGGAACAGGTGGCTTGACTTTGCTAAAGAATTCCATACTACTGTAGGAAGATTATTTTTAATAAAAGTTCATCAGATTACTTTGGGCCTCATTCTGTTTATTAAAAATGTATTCAAACTTGCCAGTCATTTTTTAACAAGATTTAAGTATTAGTATTACACAAGAATTCTGTTAGCAGGTATTTGAAATTGTGTTTGAAGAAATCAAGCCCCTAGTTATCCATTGACCAGATAGTGGGAGCTAGTGATGATGTCAGCAAATGCATACTTCATTATCACCTTTGCTAATTGAAGTGTATTGCTTCCTATTTGTAAGAAACTCTGCTGTCAGAAGAAATTTTTAAGAATAGTTCCTGCATCTCTATGTCCTCATTGATTTTATATTCAGTTTAAAATTTGGTCAAAGTTGTGATTGTGGAACGATTTGAAAAGATCAGTCACAGTCATGTTACTCTAAAATGAAAATAAGCCTTCTGTGTTCAGTTTTCTACCCTAATTTAAAATCATCTGTTGATACTAACACAATGGAAAATAGCTCCTAATGAAATTTTTGCTGCATGTTTAAGGGTTTTTTACATATTTATGAATTCTGCCATGTTTTAATTTAAATAATCGTAAGTTTGAAAACTATGAACGTATCTTCAGTGCATGTGGCAAGCTACAAACAAATACATGCACTACAAACAATAGATATTAGAGGGAAAAAAGAATCCTGAAATTATTTTATTCAGATATTCTGAATATTTTATTCAAATATTCAGAAATATTTTATTTAGATATCTAAAAGATCTAAATGCTTGGGTGTTTTTTCATGTGAAAAACTGAAGAACGCTGCCCGCTTATTTAGAAGCACAGAAGTGAGCAAGAAGGAGTGAATTCCTACCTTTAGCCTGAGTTCTGCAACTCTTTATAGTTACAGGAGTAACTGGAGGTTGGTATGGCAATGGTATAAATGGCAGGTATAAAATACATGGTGATACCAATTATCTCCAGAGTTTTCTCTCATACTTGCCCAAAGAGAATTTGCTTTCTGAGATAGTGGTGTGTCAATCTGAACATGTTACATTACTTTTCTGGAGTGAGAAAATGTTTCTTCATGACCTTTTTGTGCTGAAGGAAGAACTCATCAAGGTGAGATACCTGTTGGAAACTTTGATGCTGTTTACAGTAAGGATTTTCATACTGCTCTGCTCCAGGCAATGGGTAGCAATATCAATGTTTTAATTATGGTGATGTTGAATATTTGGCATGATCTGATTTTATGCAGTAATAAATGGCTTTCAGTAGAGCAAAGATCTGTGCTGTTACATGCTTCACAGTTTCTACAATACCTGTATCAATAGTCTGTAATAGTTTTTGGATCTCCTTGAAAAGAAGGAATGTGGGATGTGCCACAGGGAGCATGTGTGCTACTGAATAAAGGATAAAAATTTCAGCATTTCTTAGAAACAGAGTTGGAAAAGGAGCCTTATTTGAACAAATAGTCTAAGAGGTTATTAGGTGCTTTGGATGGTCAAGAAAAATAATTAGTCACACAAGAATCCGAATACCAATCTCTGTTTCATGGGGTGGATTTTTTCCCCCATTTTTTTAAAATACTTGTTTTCATGTTGATGACAGTTTCCCACAGGTGTTTCTTATTTGTGACTTAAGTAAATTATTTTATGTCTGCTGCCCCACATAGAAATAGGCTTCACAGGAGGAAAAGGTTTATAGAAGCAAGGGAGTAAAAGTAGAGCTGTGTTTATATGCATCATGACATCCTATTTTTCTTGGATAAGCCAAACTATAGAAAGTGAGTTTGTGACAGGTTTTTTTTTTCCCCTAGAGATTGGGAATATTTTGATGGCATCTCACAGTATCCGTCATCTTGATGGTTTACAGGATTAGTGAGACTGCATTCCATTTGTAATACTGCTTTGTGACCTTGTTGCTATTGGCATCAATGGGCTCTGGTTTCTTTTCTTCTCAGAACAGAATCCTCCTTATATCTAAGGATGGAGCTATATTAGTATGAATAATAAAGAATGATACTTGAGATGAAATGATGTTTATTGAAAACTGAAGAGGAGCAGATGAAAAAAAGCATAAAAAAGCGGAAGATAATTGCAACAACTGGTAATACCTAATTTACCACAGATTAAATTGCTACTCTGTGCAATGTACTTTTCTCTAGAAATGTGAACACAATGTTTAGGTATGTTACTTTGCTCTGTGTTTCTGTATACATAAATGGTAAAGAATTAATAGACCCTAGACTTCCCCAAACAAGGTGACTAGACAGTGTGATCCTGGTGAGTGAACAGCTGTTGTCCTTCTAGCTGCTTGTTATGCAAGGAGCTAGTTTGATGTCCAAGGTGCATACCTAAATACTGTTTGTATTTGTTTTGTGTCTGGCCCCACTGGGACCAGCTATAGGATGAACAAAATGTTGTCCTAGCACAGTCATAATTTTCGATCATTTTGACAGTCTTCTTCTATGTTACCCTTGTAGCCTGTAATGCTGGAAAAAGTAAGCTTATAACAGGAAACAGATGACCAAACTGAACTGAGCTCCTCTGTCTGTTAAAGTGAGTTGTCTGTGTGTACATGTATCTTTATTTTTGGTTTTTCATTTTTGTCTTTAGTGTGTTAATGATCTGCTTCCTTAGTCCTGTTGCCATATTTAGGCAGGGGTAGCAATAAACAAGGGACATTCCTAGTAGATATATTACAAGTTGTCAAAATTACTCAATTATCATTCTTAGGAAGACACATACAAAATGATTTATTCATAGGATGGCCATAAATTTTAGACTGATGTTTTCCATTCCTCATTATTGCTTGACTTTTAGCTACCTAGTGGATGCAATGACAATAAGCAGAAATGTTGTTTTAAATAGCTGTATTCCTATGTGACCTGATGTGCCAGGTATTCTCATTGAAAAGAACAATTAAAAAACCCTTTAGGTCAAGTCAGTTTGAGCTTTAAGTAACCTGCACTGAAATGGCATACAGCTGATTTTATAATGGGTTTAAATAGATGGTAGTTTGGCTAGACACCAGCTGTGGCCATTTTCTTTAAGATTTTGATTTAGCGTTAGTAATTTACCCTTTCATTGAATATATATATAATTTGAAAAAAGTATTGAGCTAGAAAAGCATTGATTAGCAAAAGGTAACTGAACAGTTGAAGTTGTTTTCAGTCTTAGTGCTCAGTTGTCAGCACAAAGAAAAACACGTTTTCCTTTAAGCCAGATACTATTTTCAGTGTTTTTGCCTGGGAGCATTTTCCTGACATAACAAATTCCTGAAGTACAGTCTCAGTCTAAGTTCCCGTGATTTTATTACCATTCTTTTCTAACAAAAGGAAAACCTAGGTATCATACACTTACCTCTCTATATGTCTGGTATTACTTACATGCCTCTAATAAAATAAAGACAACCTCTGAACTTTCCATGCTCAGACTTGCACTTAAACTAACCTGGCTGTCATGGTTTCAGTTCAGTAGCTTATGCTTAGCAAGTTTAAGCTTATTACAATTATCATAAAAAGATATTAAACTTTCTACATTAATATATTAAGATTCTACACAAAGAATAAAACTGAAACCAAAATAATTTTCTCTTTGCTTATAGCTTTTATTTAATGAAAAATTGAATGAAATATCCTGCTCTGCAGTCTTCTCCTCAAAGTGAATTTAAGAAAATACCTGTATTTTTTAAATAGGTAAGGGTATTGAGGATGGTTTTATAATAAACCATCAGGTGAATTAAAAAAATAAAAGGAGAGGAGTTAACATTATCCCAATATTAGCCTCTAAAAAGCTGATCAGAAGCTGATCAGCTGCAACTTCCCTTGGTTTCTGTTTCACTTGCAGTATTTCAGGCCTGAAATGTGTTTTCCTGGACATGAAACCTGCAGAGCAGAACAGGAGTGAGCCTTCCTGAACCTTGGTAAGCTGCTGTCCCTATCCCCATCACAGGCACGTGTCATGCCGTGCGAACGTGATGCCTTTTCACTTCCATTTTTTCCCCTTGTGAATAATGTTACTAATTTTCACTTAGAAAACACAGACTCCAAGTATTAACACTACCTGAGGGAGCAGCTGGAAGCAGCGCTTCTCAAAAGCGAAGGAACACGGCTATAGGTTTGACTTAGTAAAAGGTGCCCTTCTTTTTCCTCAGTGTTCCCTCTTCCCTTACCCCTGAGGACACATTCCTGCTAAAAGCCTTCCAGCCCCACCCCAAAACACAAGTGGTGCCGAGTCCACTCAGCCAACCTCAGCTGTACCTGGAGCATGAGTGGACAGGCTGCTTGTTTTAACATGTGGGATGTTTCATAGTCCAGTAAATCCACTTGTGCTTCATCTCAGCTTAAATGCTTTTGCTTTCCAAAAATGTTGTGTCCAAAGGGCAGAATTTTAGATTATAAAAGTCCTAAAGGAGATGTAAGGCTTGATATAAAATGCTAAGACGCTAAATTAATTCCTAAAAAATATTTAATATTTGAATAATTAATTACCTCGTACCAGTTTCAAAGCACTGAATATGAGAAATGAAGTATACAAATACAACGACAGAAACCTTTGCTTCAGTTCCCAGACACAGAGTTCAGGAAAATGGGAAAGTCATCCTTACCCATTCTTAAACTCTCAGCATGTTGCCAATTACCTAAAAGTAAGAGTTATCATAACAGAAATTTTTGTAAGAAATGATCCTCCTCATGTAGAGGCCTCATTTTAGCCTTCCAGTGTCTAAAGGAGTCAGAGAGTCATAGGAGAAAGGGGAACGGGTTTCAACTGGAAGAGGGGAGATTTGGGTCGGATGTTAGGAAGAACTGTGAGGGTGGTGAAACACTGGAACAGGCTGCCCAGAGAAGCTGTGGATGTCCCATCCTTGGAAGGCCTCATTCCAGACCAGGCTGGACAGGGCCCTGAGCAATCTGATCCAGCTAGTGGCATCCCTGCCCATGGCAGGGGGTTGGAACTAGGTGATCTTCAAGGTGCCTTCCAAGGCAAGGCATTCTGAAACTCTATGAGGGTGCAAAGTGCACTCCTGCTACCTGGGCATGAAATGTTACCAAGCCATGGGGAGTCCT